TGTTTATACAAGAATAAATATTACAAGAACGTTCATACAAGAACTGAAAAACAAAACTGCATCATACAAGAACTTTTAACAAAAACGCATCATAAAAAACTGTATCAAAAAGAACTCATATACAAGATTGATATCAAGAACTGATTATCAAAACTTTTCATACAAAAACTGCATCATCAAACCGCATTTAAAAAAAACTGTAATCAAGAACTAAAACATACAAAAATTTTCATACAACAACTGACATACAAGAAATGCATCAACAAAAAACTTCATCATCAGGCTGCATCAAACAAGAATTATCTAAAGAACTGTATCAACAAGCTGTATCAAAAAAAACTGTACAACAAGAACGACATACAAGAAATGTTTCATCAAAAACGCATCATACAAAAAATGTACATACAAGAACTTTTCATACAAGAACTGTATCATACAATAACGACAACAAACCGTACATACAAAACTGATCCCACAAGAAAAAAGTATCTACAAAACGACAACAAATAAATGCATCATACAAGAAGTACCTTCAAAAACTGTACCCTACAAAAGGGACATACAAGAACTGTACCAATAAAATCTGATATACAAGAACTGTATCATACAAGAACGTACCCTCAAAGCTGTTATACAAAACTGTATCAAAACAAAACTGATCATACAAAACTGTATCATACAAAACGACATACAAAAAAAAGTATCATACAAGAACTGTACCTACAAGAAAATTTTTCAAAAGAACGACCTTTCAAAACTGTAAAAATCAAGAACTGTACCATCAAAAACTTATCATACAAAAAGTGATCATACAAAATGTACATACAAGAACTGTATCAACAGAATTTTCAACAAAACTGTTAACAAACGTTCATCAAAAACGTATCATACAAAATTTTATCTACAAAAACGACCATACAAGAACGTAAAACCCAAAACTGTAACATCAAAACTGACATACAAAACGGGACCATACAAGAACTGTATAATAGAGAACTTTCATACAAAACGATCATACAAACGTATATACAAAACTTCATACAAGAATTATCATACAAGAACGTACATACGAATTGATCATACAAAAAGATCATACAAGAACTGTGTCATACAAGAATGTAACTACAAGAACTTACCCTACAAGAACGTATCATAAAGAACGTATCAACAAGAACTGTATCATACAAGAACTGTATCATACAAAACGTACATACAAAACGTACATACAAAACCCGTATCAACAGAACTGTATCACACAAGAGTTTACAACAAAACTGTATCTTTTCAAGAAAGGGATCAACAAAACGTATCATACAAGAACGTAACATACAAACTGAATCATACAAAACCTGACATCAAGAACTTTATACAAGAACTGTATTATCAGAAATATCATACAAGAAATGTATCAACAAGAACTGTTTTAAAATTCATACAAAAAATGTATCATACAAACTGTATCATACAAGAACTGTATCATACAAGAACGTACAAAAAAACCCGTCAAACAAAACCCGTATCATAAAGAATGTTTCTCAAAACTGTTTTTTCTTTTTGTGTTTAACAAGAACTTCTCTGTTTATAAAAAGAAAAAGAACATAAGAAGAAAAAGAAGAAAAAAGGAAAAAAAGCGTATATAAAAAATGTACTCCCTCTCCCTTTTTCACAGAATGTTTCTACAAATTGTTTTTCGAACTTTCTCCTTTCTCAAAAAATTTTCTCTTTTCTCTTTTCATCCTTTTCCCTTTATCTTCCCTTTTTCTCCCCCTTTTCCCAAAAAACAATTTCTTTTTACTACAGCTTTTCTTCAAAAATTTCTTTAAAAAAATTTTTTCAAAACTGTTCTAAAAAAGCCGAAAAGCCCCGAATTTTTCTCTTTTAATCAAGAACTGTAACATCCTTTTTTTTCCCTCCTGATCACAAAATGAAACAAGAACTTATCTTTAAAATTTTTATAATTTTTTTTTTTTTTTTTTTATAAAAATAAATGTCTCTTTACTAAAAAAGAGAAAAAGGGGGGAAAAGGGGGAGTTATATTTTTTAAAACTTATAAACTAGAAAGAGTAGTGAAGGCTCGATCCTTCGTCCGCTATCTCTGCTCTAATTAGCCTGATCTTAGGGAAAAAAAGATCGGGAGGTTCGAGTGGGAAGCACCTTGCCCTTGAAGCTACATTAACCAATCAGAAGGCGGGATAAGTGTGACGCCAGCAGTGACGCAAGTAGTGACGTCGCCGACCCCTCAGAAATAAACATAACCTGTGTTGCCACGTCTACTACACGACGCCTACGATTCCCGTTGGGGAGGGTAACCTCTACCTGTTCGACAATGTTCGCACATCGTGTTAAAATCAAACCAGCCAGTGGTGTTATAAATGATTCCACTAAACTATTACTTGCTGCCGCTATGAGGACCTGCCTACATCTCAAATTCACAGCGATTCACTCACTCAAGGATTCCTTTATTGTCGTTTGCACCGACGACAATGAAGCAGCTAAACTTATGGACGACACTGCAATGAACACATTACGGGACCGTCAATTCATCATATCACCGTCTCCCTCCTTGCTGGCGAAACGTTCAGTTTTTGTTAAACAATTGGATAAGATAATCACATCTATTCCAACGGATGAACTGAAGACCTCTATCGAAGACCAAAACACCTGGGCCTCTGTAGACACCATCACACGAATTCCCAATGCCTCATCTATGATCAAAATCACCTTTTCAAACATAGGTATGGCTACCCAAGCACTCGCTAATGGACTAGCTATCTCATATTACCACATACATCCACGCCACATTGAACCTGAACGTTTTGCCCATGTCTCTCCCTGTTGGAACTGTTACTCTTATCAACATTCAACAAAGGACTGCCCCATTAAAGACAAAAAGTTCTGTTCTACCTGTGGAAAAGAAGGTCATAACTTCAAAGCCTGCACCACCACCAATGCCACTCCAACATGTCTTAACTGCAAGGGTACTCATCATACCCTTGCAGCAAAATGCCCACTACGAAAAGAAGTAATGTCGAAAAAAATTAAAAAGAAACCAAGAAGAATAGTCCCAAATCGCCGACATACACCGCCATTTCAAAACTCCAGTCGGACACCACCAGAATTCTACAAGCCACACAGCAGTCATCTCTATCCAGCAATTCCCTTTCTGCACTCCCTGACGCTGTGCTCCCTCTAAGGTGTTGTACTGCATGATGTATGCACACCTTGCAAATGCAGCAAACCCAGGCACATTCAACACTACAATTAACGAACTATTCCGTCTTAACAACATGCCGTCATTCAACTTTCCTGACTCGCCAACATCACAGGACTTCCTCAAGATTATCCCAAACATCGCTAACTTCACATCAACTTCAGGCCCAAATCCTAACTCTGCCCCAAAAAACACTCCTGAACCACGCCCAGTGACCACTGCCACCTCTCAACAACCACCAACAACCAGCCAGACCGCAAATACTCTAGACTCCCAGCCTCCTCTTGACACAATCACTGTAGAAACAATTGAACAAGAATTTCCTGACGAATCCCCCGACGAAGCAGATAGCGACGACTCCAGCACACCCTCTTGGGAAAACCTTACTTTCTACACCTCTCCCTCGAACGCTGACACCATGACCTGCTCTGAACTATACAAAGGCCTCGTGATGGAACAGTCAAGTATGCCTGCGAATCACCTCTTCACTTCACACTCACGCAAGTTCTTGAGTTCATCAAGCCTCTTCGTTTCACTTTTTTCCAACAAGACAACGCTATACCACCTCTCCAGGAGCAGCTTCAAGAAGTTTGCAAATGGCTCCATTGCAAACCTGCCCTCCTCAACTACTAAAATAACCTCCCACATGTCTGATGCCCTCTCCTGCGATCTGGAAACTTCCAGCTCTCGAGACTCAAAGACCTCACCTACCACGAGACTGGTGGGTGAGACATATAGGCAACAGATGGGCGAGTTTGTTCCGGGGCGTTTCGCCTACACAGTAGGCTTCTTCAGTACAGAAGGTGGGCAGGAGCAGTGGAGGTGTGGGGGAGGTGTGGGGGCGGTGTGGTCGGTCCATCGCCCTTGAGGTCGTGGAATTTGGGGTTGTCGGTCCCTCAGCCTGGAGAAGTTCAGTTCCATACACAGCTTGCTCTCTTCCCGTTTTTTCCTCCAAGTCTGTCCCACGATCGCCTTAGCTGCTGGGTTAAGCCCTGGCTCTATTTCTACGACTAAGAACACTCCTCTCCAGCGCTATTCTTCGTCTGTCCCGTCTTCCCCGCTCATCCCATTGGGATCTTACCTGCACTTGCTTGCTTGCTTGCTTGCTTGAATCGCACTGTACTTCTTTTATTTGCTAATCAGCGGCACTGCTGCTGGTTTGTTTAGTTTGTGTGTAACGTTTTTTATTTGTTGTCTTTGTTGCGAGAGTGTTGAACTTTGTTTGATAATTTGTAATGTGGTGATATGGCATCTTGTCGGGAGATGATTCAAGATATTGTGAGAGAGGTGGCAGGGTGGCAGGGAATGTTGAAGAGGTGGCAGGGTGGCAAGGGAGGTCGAAGAGATGGCAGGGGATGGTCAAGGGAGGTGGAATGGTGGCAGGGAAGGTCGAAAAGGTGGCAGGATGGCAGGGGATGGTAGAGGGAGGTGGCAGGGTGGCAAGGGAAGGTGGAAAGGGTGACAAGCTCGGAGGGAAAAGTCGAAGGAGGTGGCAGAGTGACAGAGAAAGGTGCAAGAAAACTTACAGAATAACACAAAATTGAGATCTCACCGTCTAAAATTAAAACCACCAATTACCACACTGACTTAAACTTACTTTACAAAAAAAAAATATACGAAATTAGACTTTTAATTAACAGTCCCACGAAAAAAAAATCCCAATGTAACACAATTATTATTATTATTATTATTATTATTATTATTATTATTATTATTATTATTATTATTATTATTATTATAGAGGAGCGATGAACCTTTACCTTACACACACACACACACACACACACACACACACACACACACACACACACACACACACACACAACATAAACAGTGGATTTTAGAAGAATAAATTAAGTTTAAGAATGGACTCGGGAAATTGTTGGTTTAACAACAGAGTTGTAGAGTTGAACAATTTACCTAGTAGAGAGTGATTAATGCTGCCCTCTTCCGCAGCTTCAGAAATGGGGACAGACCGGGATTGAACTCCAGCCCGTCGCGTTAGCTGAGAAAGACCTGCCAAGTATGGGCCAGTAGGCCTGCTGCAGTGCTCCTCCCTTCTTATGAGGTGCTGCTTCTGCCGCTTCTACTGCTGCAGCAGTAGAAGCGGCAGTAAGTGCAGTAGTATCATCAGTGAAAACAGCAACAACAGTAGCAACATAAAAAATGGCCGCTGCAGCAGTAATAATGGAATTAACAGCAGCGGCAGCACCAACAACAATGGCAGCTGCAGTAGCAGCAGCTGCAGCATCAGTAGTAACAGTAACAATGGGCAGCTGCAACAACAACAACAACAACAGCAGCAGTAGCAACAGCTACTGCTACTGCTGATGTTACTGCAGGAGAACCTTGAAATATTATATTGGAATGTTGGAAGTAAAATTCCCCTTTGCAACATTCTCAACGCCTCTATTTTGGCCACTTAAATTATCCCAAACTGCTTCTCGTTCACACCAGAAGTTTCTCGTGCGAGTTACAACACCAATTTGGCACGAGCTGCAACAAAAAAATACACATTTCTGTCGCTTTTTATAATGTCAAAGTATAAAGATTTTTCCATGTAAACACGAGCTTCACTTCTGCTACGTCGCTAAGTGACGTGGGAACACTTCTGACGTCTCACTGTTAATAGTAAGTCAGTTCAACGGGAAAACCGGAAAAGGTTTCAGTCATCCCGTTTCTTTTTCTAAATTAGTTGTGTAGCGTCCCCAGCTACTGTGTCTTTCACGTATCAGAGAGATGATGTAGTGTGTTGTCCACCAGGGAAAACAGAGGGAGGGAAGGGGACGTCAGTTATATGGGGGACATCTTCAACTGGCCAAGGCTGATATCACACGCACTCATCGATTCCTCGACACTCTTGCTCTTACGACACACAACACATCACTTTTGTCCATTACCACACACAACAGCCGCATATTACGACACACAATGTCAGCTTGTCCACCACACTCGCTGCAACGAGTTTACTGAACCTTTCCCCCACACACATTTGGAGCCGAATTCGGTACTAATTTTCAATATTACCTTACTATTATAGTTATTTTCAAGGATCCCACAGCACCTGGAGAATGGGAGGGAAGTAGGTTTGACCAGAGGAAATGTAACTCCACAATCATTCGATATATGAAATCGTGTGAAGGTAGAGGCAGCGAACACCAACTTCGACTACCTCACACGAGTATACAATACCGACAGCTTGAAGAATAAGACATATGCAATACTAAGGTATCTTTATTTTACCGCAACATAATAAGGATGCCCAATAAAGATGCCCACGTGTTACACATGTGTTTTATTCTTCAAAGAACTTTTTAATCTTTCATGAAGACGTAGTTAAAGCGGCCAAGTTGAGCGTGAGTATACAAGAAGAATACTTAATCGTGTTTCAAATGGAAGAGCTGTGTGTATACTCCATTATACTGAGCACATGTATACACCCTTATATTGGAAACAGAACGTATATGTTACAGCATACCCCAACCGGAATGTGTATATTACGTTATACTGGAGAGAATGTAGGTCGTCCATCACGGTGGAGAATTCTGACCTTCACTGATTCTACACTGTCACTGTTGTTACCAGTGGTGGTTAACGTGGCTTAGGTGGTGGTTGTGGTGGTTGGTAGGTGTGATGGTGGTAGAGGCTGCTGTAGGTGGTTGTGGGGGTGGTTGTAATGGTGATAGTGGCTGGTATAGGTGGTCGTGGTGGTGGCTGAGGAGGGGGGTGAGTAAGGCCACTTCTACCACCACTACTGGCACTGACGACTGGGGAAAGTGCCATGCCTCCTGACCATAGTCGAGGAGGAAAGTTTATGGTCCCTAGAAGCCCCAGGGAGACCACCATCAACTATTAATGCCCCTGGTGGTTATGGTCGTGGTTGTGGTCGTGGTCCTGGTGATCAATTATGCTCTCCGTGCTGGTCAACGCCGTGGTGTTCAGTGGGCCTTCGTGGCTATGTCCTTCGTGATTATGGTCGTCGTGGCTATGGCCATTATTCGGTCCGTGGCTGTGGCCTCCTATGGCCTCCAGTGAAGCCATGACCGCAAAGCCCAGTACGACGAAGAGGAACTTCAAGAGGCGCCCGCCCGCACGCCCACGCTCACGTTCCAGAACCTGGGGAAGATGGAAATAAATGGTATAAAATACCGACACAATGGCAATATAAACACAAATGCAGTATAATGTGATCCTTTATTGACTACGTTTCGCCCACACAGTGGGCTTTTTCAAGTCACAAACAGAACTACCTGGGGTGGAAGGAACGCGAGTATTTATAGTCCGGCTGAGGTCAGGTGAAGAATGCTGCATCTGATGATGTACCGAGTTGGGTTGTAGAGTCTAAAAACTTGGGTAGCTTGGAAAGGAGACTGGACAAGTTTGTGAGCAGACCTTCTACAGTGTTCTTATGTGGGATAGCGATGAAGAAGTTTCTTGGCAAATGGTTCAGCTAAATTATAGAAGCCACTATTCTGGTTGAAGGGTTTTCGGATATAGAAATAAGTGATGATTCCAGGATTCTTCGGTATTGGGTGTTGTCTTCTGTGGCGATAAGTCTTGAGTTTCTGTAGTTTATCAAGTGGTTGTGTGAATTACGGTGTTGTACGCAGGCATTCCTTGTGTCGTCAACCTGCTTGCGTATTGGTGTTCTGAAATACGTGTTTGGAGGTCCCTTGATGTTTCGCCCACGTATAAACTTGTTGCAGTCATTACAAGGGATTATGTATTACCCCTGCAGAGGATGGAGGTTGTCCTGCCTCTACTGGTGATGTCCTTGATGGTCGTGGTTGTGGAGGTTAGATACTTGGAATGATGTTTTGGCAAAGATGTTGGAAACATGTTTGGCAATGGAGTTGGTGGGAAGGACTATGATCTCTTCTCGGCAGTGTCTTCTCTGGGTGTGTTGAAGATGTTTAGTGCTCGCCGTCTGCAAGTCTCTGAAGAAGTGACGAGGATAGTGGAGTTGGAAAATACCTGTTCAATTATAGTGCTTCTTCCTCAAGGAACTCGTTGCTGCAGATTGAGTGCACGCAGGAAGAAGCCTATAATTACACCACGTTTGGTTTGGTGTCGTGGTGAGAGTAGAAGTGGAGAAGATCGTTTGGTTGGTGGGTTTTCGAAGACTTTAAAACGAAGTTCGTGGTCAGCTTTGCAGAGAAAGAACATCAAGGAAAGGAAGAGTGTTTGTCGACCCTTCTTCAAGTGTGGAACTGGATTGAAGGCTCGACCTGGTTGAGCTTGTCTTGGAGAGCTTGAACGTTGAAGCTTTTAGGAGTTATGAGGAGAATGTCGTCAACAAAAAGGGAGCCAGGTGACAGACGAGGAATAATGGTGGGAACCGTTCGGCTTCTAGATTGTTCCATGTATAGGTTCGCTAGGACTGCACTGAGGGCGAACCCATGGGTAGTCCAAAAGTCTGCTGAAAGAGGTAAATTTTCAAAAGAGAAACACGTAAACCCAAACCCACATAGTTAACCAGGTCGATGAAGTCGCTGGCTGGAATGGGAAGATCAAGTGAATCTCAATTTTCTTGCGCAAGAGATCGATGGCTTGTTTAGTAGGTACTTTAGTGAATAGGGAAGTCACGTCAAGGCTGGAAAGTTTCTTGTTCCTGATGTTGATTTTTGCGAATGCGATTGAGAAGATCACCTGAGTGTTTGAGATGTGCTGGACTGATAGTGCCCAAGAGTTTCGAGAGGTGTTTGGCGAGAATTCCTGAGAGCTTGTGGGGAGCACTGCCTATTCCGAGGATATGGGCCTCAGGGGGATACCAGGCTTGTGGGTCTTTGGCAGGCCGTACATTCTGGCAGGTCTGGGGTTGCTGGGCAGACCCAGATACCTACAAAACCTCTCACAACTAACCAAAGTGGACAACCTTACTAAAACTTTTCTTCAAAGGACTCGCCCTTTCTGAGGAGTCGAAAAGGGGAGAATTTGCACACCATGCCAGAACCCAGACCTGCAGAATGTAGGCCTGCCAAAAACTCACAAAGCCTGGTATCCCACTGAGGCCCATACTCCGGGAATAGGCAGTGCTCCCCACAAGCTCTCAGGAATTTTTCGCCAAAACCTCTCGAAACTCTTGGGCATATCAGTCCAGCAAAATCTCAAACACTCAGGTGATCTTCTCAATCGCATTCGCAACATCAACATCAGGAACAAGAAACTTTCCAGCCTTGACGTGACTTCCCTATTCACTAAAGTACCTACTAAACAAGCCCCTCGATCTCTTGCGCAAGAAAATTGACGATTCACTTGATCTTCCATTCCAGCCAGCGACTTCATCGACCTGGTTGAACTATGTGTTGGCTTTACGTGTTTCTCTTTTTAAAATCACCTCTTTCAGCAGACTTTTGGACTACCCAGGGTTCGCCACTCAGTGCAGTCCCAGCGAACCTATACATGGAACATCTAGAAGCCGAACGTTTCTCCACCATTATTCCTTCGTCTGTCACCTGGCTCCTTATGTTGACGACATTCTCCTCATAATCCTAAACGCTTCAACGTTCAAGCTCTCCAAGACAAGCTCAACCAGGTCGAGCCTTCAATCCAGTTCACACTTGAAGAAGAGGGCGACAACACTCTTCCTTCCTTGATGTCTACTCTGCAAAGTTTACCCGAACTTCGTTTTTAAAAATCTATCGAAACCCACCCAACCAAAAACCATCTTCTCCACTTCTACTCTCACCACGACACCAAAACCAAACGTGGTGTAATTATAGGCTTCTTCCTGCGTGCACTCAGAATCTGCAGCAACGAGTTTTCCTTAGGAAGAATGCACTATAATTGAACAGGTATTTTCCAAACTCCACTATCCTCGTCACTTCATCAGAGACTGCAGACGGCGAGCACTAAACATCTTCAACACACCCAGAGAAGAACTGCCGAGAAGAGATACATAGTCCTTCCCCCCAACTCCATTGCCAAACATGTTTCCAAAATCTTTGCCAAAACATCATTTTCCAAGTTTTGCAAGAAAGGATAAAATACCGACAATATGAAAGTTAAGACACATGTGCACATCTGGATTTTCTTTATTGTAGACGTTTCGCCATCCAGTGGCTTTATCAATACAGATTCTAGGACATAATATGAAGACAGTAGAAACTATATACAAAAGATGAGGTAATCAGTCCCTCGGCCTTGGAGTTAGTGTTCACAGCAACGTGGTGGAGAGAGTCTGGAGCAAAGGCAGAAGACTGGCGTTTTTATAGGCGTCAGTGGAAGGGACGGCAGCAGACGAGGGCAGTCATGGTAGGGGGGATTCCCCAGTGGAATCTACAAGCCTTCCTTCCGGCTGCTGCAACTAACCCATCTCTTTGGAAGGACCTACTTCCACTGGGAAATCCCCCTACCAGTGACTGCCCTCGTCCCGCGCCGGGCCCTTTCCCCTGACGCCTATAAAAAAACGCCCATCTTCTTGCTTTGCTCATACCTCTCCTCACCACGATGCTGTGAACACTAACTCCAGGCCGAGGGCTGAATACCTCATCTTTTGTATATAGTTCTACTGTCCCTTTATTTAATGTCCAGAATCTGTATTGATAAAGCCACTGGATGGCGAAACGTCTACAATAAAGATATCCAGATGTTGCACATGTGTCTTAACTTTCATATTGTCGGTATTTTATACCTTTCTTGCACAACTTGTCAGACACTGCAACATCATGGAATCTTGGTTCAGAGGACATCTACAAGACCTTCTTCACGGCTGCTGCAACTAACCCATCTCTTTGGGAAGGACCTACTTCCACTGGGGAATCCCGCCTACCAGTGACTGCCCTCGTCTGCTGCCCGTCCCTTCCACTGACGCCTATAAAAACGCCAGTCTTCTTGCCTTTGCTCCAGACTCTCCTCCACCACGATGCTGTGAACACTAACTCCAAGGCCGAGGGACTGATTACCTCATCTTTTGTATATAGTTCTACTGTCTTCATATTATGTCCTAGAATCTGTATTGATAAAGCCACTGGATGGCGAAACGTCTACAATAAAGATATCCAGATGTTGCACATGTGTCTCAACTTTCACATCATTCCAAGTATCTACCTCCACAACCACGACCATCAAGGACATCACCAGTAGTAGGCAGGACAAGCCTCCATCCTCTGCAGGGGTATACATAATCCCTTGTAATGACTGCAACAAGTTATACGTGGGCGAAACATCAAGGGACCTCTAAACACGTATTTCAGAACACCAATACGCAAGCAGGTCTGACGACACAAGGAATGCCTGCGTACAACACCGTAATTCACACAACCACTTGATAAACTACAGAAACTCAAGACTTATCGCCACAGAAGACAACACCCAATACCGAAGAATCCTGGAATCATCACTTATTTCTATATCCGACAACTTCAACCAGAATAGTGGCTTCTATAACATAGCTGAACCACTTGCCAAGAAACTTCTTCATCGCTATCCCACATAAGAACACTGTAGAAGGTCTGCTCACAAACTTGTCCAGTCTCCTTTCCAAGCTACCCAAGTTTTTAGACTCTACAACCCAACTCGGTACATCATCAGATGCAGCATTCTTCACCTGACCTCAGCCGGACTATAAATACTCGCGTTCCTTCCACCCCAGGTAGTTCTGTTTGTGACTTGAAAAAGCCCACTGTGTGGGCGAAACGTAGTCAATAAAGGATCACATTATACTGCATTTGTGTTTATATTGCCAACCTGGGGAAGATAATCACGCCCTTTATGACCAGTGCTCAAGAAAATAGTTCAGATGATCACTGTTTGAGCTGATGGATCAGATAAACAGAACTCGAAGTGATGATTCAAATGATTGGTTATCATGTCTAAAATAAATAAATAAATAAATAAATAAATAAAAGACAGGCTGCAAAACGAGCTTTCCCTGAGTCAACGTTTCACTCCGTGTAGAGCTTTATCCACTCATGACACGAGAAACAGCTCTACACAAAGTGAAGCATTATCCTGATAGAAGCTCGCTTGACAACGTGGATCTTTACTATTGTCTTCAGTGTGATGATGAAGAGGATGATGATAATAATAATAATAATAATAATAATAATAATAATAATAATAATAATAATAATAATAATAATAATAATAATAATAACCGTGGTGGAGGCTTGATCCTCCGTCTGCTGAACGCGAGACAGACGCACTTCTTCTTTGTAGTCACCTAGATATAAGAACAAAAGAATGGAGGAACACTGCAATAGGCCTACTGGCCCATACAATGCTCAAAGACTGCAGACAGCGCTCTGAGTGAATGGAAGTCTTGTCCATTTCTCAGCTCTGCTGCCTAGAACGCGGCCTGTTACGTATAATGTGATCTGATACCTACAATGTGTGACTAACATTCAACAAGGTGTTTCCTGGAGCAAAGGGATTTAGACGATAATTGGTAAGGTGTAAGACTGCAGGATTCATTAGGCCTTTCTTTCGTGTAACACACGTCTATATGCAAGAATCGCGAACAAGCGATTCGTTCAGAGGGACTCCGTTGTTAAGTGGTGTATAAATGGAAAACAGGAATAAATAAAGGGGATGTAAATAGCGCGCTAACAATATCTAGCCAAGTCAGGACTCGCAGCAATGGTTTTAAGTTGGAAAAATTCGGATTCAGGAAGGATATAGGAAAGCACTGGGTTGGTAATAGAGTTGTGGATGAGTGGAACAAACTCCCGAGTACCATCATAGAAGCTAAAACGTTGTGTAGTTTTAAAAATAGGTTAGATAAATACATGAGTGGGTGTGGGTGGGTGTGAGTTGGACCTGACTAGCTTGTGCTACTAGGTCTGATGCCATACTCCTTCCTAAAGTGAATGTGACCTGACCTGACTAGGTTGGGGCATTAGCTTAAACCAGTAGAAGATTTGGACCTGCCTCGCATGGGCCAGTAGACCTCCTGCAGTGCTCCTTCTTTCTTATGTTCTTAAGAGCCTCCCTCTGAACGAATCTGCTGAGATCTCTTTCTCATTTCTGCAACTTTGCAAGCTCCTGATGATGTGTTAATTGCAACACGAAAAGCCCAGAGCTATACTTCATCTCTAGCTCGTAACAATGAAGGTATAATTGAAGTGACGCACAACTGAACGTAAGCACAAGGAATGTTAATTCTCGTTGCACACACACACACACACAACACACACACACACACACACACACACACACCACACACCACACACACACACACACACACACACACACACACACACACACACACACCCCAACACACACCCCAGCACACACACACAACAACACACACACACACACACAAAAGCCGGGAGCTTAGACTCGACCCCTCCCAACCTCAAATAGGTGAGTACAACTAGGTGAGTACACACACATACGTATAACACGGTCACTATTAGATCCATAATTCCTCATGCTGCGCCCATGTTAATATTAACTAAGAAAAGTTCTCTCAGGCCCTTTGGGAGATAATGCAAATCAAGTCCCTCAGAGTTATTCTTGTGCTGTACTGTTTAATACATACCATGTTCAATAATTACGAGTACAAGTACTCAAATACTGTTAAGAATTAACCACCTGTACTATAAATAATAATTTAAAGTAGTAACCCAACACTGTCCTAATAAAATTACTTCATTTTTATATAGCCAGTAGTGAACTCACTTCATTTAAGTTTAGCCCCACAAGGGATATTCACCTCTTCAAGGAACCAATTATTTCCCCTCCATGGAGGAGTATTTCACCTCTCCATGGAGGAGTATTTCACCTCTCCATGGAGGAGTATTTCACCTCTCCATGGAGGAGTATTTCACCTCTCCATGGAGGAGTATCTCACCTCTCCATGGAGGAGCATCTCTCCCCTCCCATGGAGGAACATTTCATTTAATATCACATACCTGCAAGCCTCTTCCAAGAAGCTCATCACTAGTAATTCCTTCCTTAATAAATCACTTGCACAAGCAAGAAGAAATTTCTGGCTTAAGTGTTAGTAATAATTTATCACAAGTTATATTCACTGATGGATTTAAGCAGGAGTGTACTGGCAGGGCTGCAGCTGCTCTTGTTGTCACCTCCCTAGTTAAGATGGATAGCAACTTTGTTGAGTTGGATATATTAACAACTGGGCGTCTACACTGAACTGTTTGTTATCCTAATGTCACTAAAGAATGAGTACATTGAGCTTGACTCTCTTCATTACTGATTCTATGTCATCACTACAGAAGTTACTAAAAATCTAAGGAAAAGAGAATTAATGTACAATTGTAATGGATTCCATCATACACTGAATTATTCCTTCACGATAGTTGATAAGTTAGTAAAAGTACCATGAAGGAAAATGTAGAATATAACCTTGGTGTATCTGTGTCTAACATTAGCAATAATATGAGGAGAGACGTTCCTAGTTCCTAGGCCTGTTGTGTATCCATATGTTCTTTCACTACCATCCATAGGATGGATATGGGGTGCGCAATGGACTAGCCGCATAAGAAGCAAAATGTAAACGATACACACACACATACACACAAACTTACTTCCGTGTCCTCGCCTTTGTTACACCTTCAGCAACTATCCATTCTTTTGTCCCAGCAGCCATCCAGTGTTCTTTAGATTCCCACACTCATGTTTTTGTCCCAAGGACATATCTTGAAGTCATATATCCTTCCATCCAAGCAGCTTATGTATCTTCTTCTATTCCTACAACGGTCCCTTCCCCACAAAGAATTTACCTCGAAGAAAGTCACATAGAGAATGGTGCCGCCTGCCAGCCCTTGCAGGATGGTGATAGCCACGAGGTGACCTCCCAACTCCGAAGTCACGTTCTCCGTCACTACGATGCCGATGGCTATGCCTAGTGGTGACACCAGGGCGAAGACCACCATGTAGACCACCATGAGACCAGCAGCCGTGCCTCCAGCCAGCAGCTCCAGACCCATGCAGAAGGCGATGACGAACTTGTGGGCAGATATAGCCCCAAATAGGTACCACACATCTACCTCGTTCTCTTGCAGTCCCACTGCCAAGCCCTGGAATGAGAGAAGACACCATGAGCAATAAACAGGGAGAAACAGTGTTAATAGAAGTTTTTATTGGGGGAAGGGATTTACTGGGTAGGATGCATTCGGCCTACTGCTGGTCTACCAGTGTGATCTTTGAATACCAGGCCTAGTGTGTTAGAGGTCTTCAAGGACTCTCTATGCTCAAAGTTTATTAGTAATAATCTTAGAATTACTGACAATATGTTAGGCTGGAGGACACAGATGAAACTAATGTAACATTTTATTGTGGCAAGGTTTCGCTTTCCAGGAGCTTTGTCAAGCCGTTACTAATGGCTCGAAGTTTATTAGCAAAGAAATAAGTCCTCAGCAATTTTAAAATGAGCTCCTCGTCAGATGTCACCAGAAGGTCTGCTAACCTTTTTGGGGCCTAGTTGCTAAGCCTGTTGTGTATCCATATGCTCTTGCGCTACCTTCCGCAGGATGGATATTGAGTACATGATAAACCAGCCGCTTAAGCTTCAGAATCTAAATCTAAAATGTGATTCTGACTCAAGCGTGTGAGTGTAACACGGGAGACTTGATCCTCAGACATCACCCAGACGAGGAAACATAATGTCTGGCCGGGCTGTGGTATCTGGTCTCTGGATCAAGTGCCAGTTGAGGCCCTGAAGAGACTGAGCTATCCTGTGAGATGGACTGGTGACTGAGTCTGCCTTCTGACATGCTCAAGCACACACACAGAACATAAAAACAGACGAACACCGCAGTATACAAGGCAAGTCTTTCCCAAAACCAACCATTCCCACCCACCTATTTGTCCAACCTTTTCCCAAAGCCACCCAAGAATTTGCTTCAACACCTCAGGTGCTAATCAAACACAGTCCTCACTCAAACACAGTACTCACTTCGAAGACGGAGTGGAAGGAGAGTGCGAGGATGACCAGGAGAGAGCGAAGATTGAAGGCAATGCCCTTGTTGCCTAGTTTTGAGATGCCCAGGTGGGAGTGACCAGGACCCCCGTGGTGGTGGTGGTGATGATGGTGGCCTCCGTGGTGGTTGTGGCTCTGTGCTGCCTCAGGGCAACCACGCTGCCCCGGCCTGATCCCTGGGACTCAGGCCGGGTCGCCTGTGGACAGATGAAAGACTCTTATTAGAAGCGTGAGCGAGCATACACATTCAGTCCCCTGGACACACACAGACAGTCCCCGGGACACACACAGACAGTCCCCGGGACACACACAGATAGTCTTCGGGACATACACATTCAGTCCCCAGGGCATACACAGACAGTCCCCGGGACACACACAGACAGTCCCTGGGACATACACATTCGGTCCCCGGGACACACACACAGACAGTCCTTGGGACATTCACAGACAGTCCCGGGACATGCACAGACAGTCCCCGGGACACACACAGACAGTCCCCGGAACATACACATTCAGTCCATGGGACATAGACAGTCCCCGGAACACACACAGACAGTCCCCGGGACATACACATTCGGTCCCAGAGACACACACAGTCCCCGGGACATACACATTCGGTCCCCGGGACATACACAGACAGTCCCCGGGACACACACAGTCCCCGAGACATGGACAGTCCCCGGGACATACACAGACAGTCCCGTGGACATACACAGACAGTCCCGGGGACAGACATAGACAGTCCCAGGGACACAGACAGTCCCCGGGACATAAACAGACAGTCCCCGGGACATACACAGACAGTCCCCGGGACATACACAGACAGTCCCCGAGACATACACAGACAGTTCCCTTCACATACACAGACAATCCCATGGACATACACAGACAGTCCCCGAGACAGACACAGACAGTCCCAAGAACATACACAGACAGTCCTAGGGACATACACAGATAGTCCCCGGGACATACACAGACAGTTCCCTTAACATACACAGACAGTTCCAGGGACATACACAGACAGTCCCCGGGACATAAACAGTCCCCGGAACATAGACAGTCCCCGAGACATAGTCCCCGGGACACACAGGGTCTCCACCTACCTGAGCACCGACAGAGATGGTCTCCTTGATAGCGGGGTTCCAGGAGGCGGCATCAAAGTCTCCAGCGAAGACAGGATTATCGACGCCAGACTCAGCCCAGCGACTCTTGGGCGTGAGAACTCCGGGCTCCTCCCGACCGTCCACGACTCCTGCAGGAGCCGTCACCGAATATACTGAACACCGCGTAGAGTCCTGGAGGAGGAGGAGTGGGAAGTAAAAATGTTAGTTGAATCACAGGTGACCACTAAACCTGTAAGGATCGTTCAGTGTATTGAACATGATATTAATAATAATAATAATAATAATAATAATAATAATAATAATAAATAATAATATAATAATAATATTAATAATATATAATATAATTATTATTATATTATTATTATTGTATATTATTATTATTATTATTATTATTATTATTATTATTATTATTATTATTATTATTATTATTATTATTATTATTATTATTGTTACGATTATTTATTATATTATTATTCATCATTGCTATTATTATTTAATATATTATTATTATAATTATTATTGGTGATGGAGTTATTAAATTCGTTGGAGAGCTCTAACCCTGTAAGAGATTTCATCCGTGGAAGGGGGAGGTAGCTTTAATTTATGGGATCAAGAGCCCTTCACCAGCATCAAAGCTCCTTCGCCTTCTTTTTAAAAGGAAGGGAAAGAAGGGGTAGAGAGGAAGGGGGGACTACTTGTAATGGAAAAGGGATTGGTATGTAAGGGAATCTCACACAGGTGTTGCAACACAACACACACACGCGGGTATTGCAACAGCAACACAACACACACACACACGCACGGGTATTGCAACAGCAACACAACACACACACACACGCGGGTATTGCAACAGCAACACAACACACACACACGGGTATCGCAACAGCAACACAACACACACACGGGTGTTGCAACAGCAACACAACACACACGCGGGTATTGCAACAGCAACACAACACACACGCGGGTATTGCAACAGCAACACAACACACACACACGGGTATCGCAACAGCAACACAACACACACACACACGGGTGTTGCAACAGCAACACAACACACACGCGGGTATTGCAACAGCAACACAACACACACACACGGGTATCGCAACAGCAACACAACACACACACGGGTGTTGCAACAGCAACACAACACACACGCGGGTATTGCAACAGCAACACAACACACACGCGGGTATTGCAACAGCAACACAACAAAACACACACGCGGGTATTGCAACAGCAACACAACACACACACGGGTATTGCAACAGCAACATAACACACACATGGGTGTTGCAACAACACAACACACACACGGGTGTTGCAACAGCAACACAACACACACACGGGTGTTGCAACAGCAACACAACACACACACGGGTATCGCAGCAGCAACACAACACACACACGGGTATCGCAACAGCAACACTACACACACACACGGGTATCGCAACAGCAACACAACACACACACACGGGTATCGCAACAGCAACACAACACACACACACGGGTATCGCAACAGCAACACAACACACACATACGGGTGTTGCAACAGCAACACAACACACACACATGGGTGGTGCAACAGCAACGCAACACACACACGGGTGTTGCAACACAACACACACACGGGTGTTTCAAGAGCAACACAACACACACAGGTGTTGCAACAGCAGCAAAACACACGTGTATTACAACAACACAACACACACAGGTATTGCAACAGCACAACAAACACAATTACTGATCAACAATAACAACAAATGTGTTGCAACAACACAACGCACTCACAGGCATTGCAACATCAACACAAAACACAGATATTGCAGCAGAAACACACACACAAGTATTGCAACAACAACACACACAGGTATAGCAACAACACAGCACATACAGGTATTGCAACAGCAACTCAACACACAAATATTGCAACAACAATACAACATACACAGGTATTGCAACAATACCACACACACAGGCATTGCAACAGCAGAATAACACACACAGATATTGCATCAGCAACACAAATCACACAGGTATTGTAAAACCAGAACAGCACACACAGGTGTTGCAACAGCAACACAACACACACACACACACCTTACAACAGCAACGCAACACACACACACACACACACACACACACACACACACACACACACACACACACACACACACACACACACAGGTATTACAACAACCCAATACACAGATATTGCAACAGCAACACAAGACACAAGTATTACAGCAACACAGTACACACAGGCATTGCAACAGCAACACAAGACGCACATGTTTATCTGCAGGTTGAGAGTCGTGCAGCTGCAACTGCTGCTTGTTGGTGTTGTTGTTGCTGCTTTTATGTTGCAGGTGACCGTTGGTGTGGTGGTGGTGATGGTGGTGATGGTGGTGGCGGTGGTGACTACCATTATGGTGGGTGTGTGGAACTGCGGCTGCGGCTGCGGTGCTGCTTTCCTCTTCAATGGCTGCGGCAAGTCTGGACAGCTTGCGGCCGCTGCGGGTGTCACGCCGGAAGAAGATCTGACGGAGACGCGTGAAAAATTATTAATAATTATTTATTATTATTATTATTGTTATTATTATTATTATTATTATTATTATTATTATTATTATTATTATTATTATTATTATTTATTATTTCTAACAATATTTCGTTGAAAAATCAATCTCCATCATCAATATTCATTTCAGAAGCACGACATAACAATACATGGTACAATACATGGTACAATACACGGTACAATACACGGTACAATACATGGTACAATACATGGTACAATACACGGTACAATACACGGTACAATACATGGTACAATACACGGTACAATACATGGTACAATACACGGTACAATACACGGTACAATACACGGTACAATACACGGTACAATACACGGGACAATACACGGTACAATACACGGTACAATACACGGTACAATACACGGTACAATACACGGTACAATACACGGTACAATACACGGTACAATACACGGTACAATACACGGTACAATACACGGTACAATACACGGTACAATACACGGTACATTACACGGTACAATACACGGTACAATACATGTACAATACACGGTACAATACACGGTACAATAACGGTACAATACACGGTACAATACACGGTACAATACACGGTACAATACATGGTACAATACACGGTACAATACACGGTACAATACACGGTACAATACACGGTACAATACACGGTACAATACACGGTACAATACACGGTACAATACACGGTACAATACACGGTACAATACACGGTACAATATGGCATGGTACAATACACGGTACAATACACGGTACAATACACGGTACAATACACGTACAATACACGGTACAATACACGGTACAATACACGGTACAATACACGGTACAATACACGGTACAATACACGGTACAATACACGGTACAATACAGGTTACATACACGGTACAATACACGGTACAATACACGGTACAATACACGGTACAATACACGGTACAATACACGGTACAATACATGGTACAATACACGGTACAATACACGGTACAATACACGGTACAATACACGGTACAATACACGGTACAATACACGGTACAATACACGGTACAATACACGGTACAATACACGGTACAATACACGGTACAATACATGGTACAATACACGGTACAATACACGGTACAATACACGGTACAATACACGGTACAATACACAGTGCAATACACGGTACAATACATGGTACAATACATGGTACAATACACGTTACAATACACGGTACAATACACGGTACAATACACGGTACAATACATGGTACAATACACGGTACAATACACGGTACAATACACGGTACAATACATGGTACAATACATGGTACAATACACGGTACAATACATGGTACAATACACGTTACAATACACGGTACAATACACGGTACAATACATGGTACAATACACGGTACAATACACGGTACAATACATGGTACAATACATGGTACAATACACGGTACAATACATGGTACAATACAAGGTACAATACACGGTACAATACACGGTACAATACACAGTGCAATACACGGTACACAATATGCTATATACAAACATCAGTGTTGTATAATTCCGACAAGTTGAAGAATTAGGAACATGCCCAACAACCGTTGGGCGAAACGTCTACTCAAAATGATACCCAGTTGTTGCGCATGTGTCAAATTCTTCAAATATGCAATATGCAAAATGCATCATACACCATACAGTATACAACACCACAACAACAACAACAGTAATGGACTTAGGCAAGATGGATGGTGCTGTACAAAATAGGGCAGTTCTCACTGAAAGGAATTTACAGTAATGTTGTGATTAAAATCCGGGTCACCATCTGGAACAGACCCGGGACGGCAAATTGACCGGCGAATTTACAACAACAAAGTTGTGAGTATAACACTTGTGCATCAGTTGGGTATCTTTATTGTCGCAACGTTGCGCCTACACAGTAGGCTTCCTCAGTCAGATACAGAGGCAGCAGGTGTAGTAGTGAAATAAAGATGATTCAATTAGTCCATCAACCATGGAACGATGTCGTTCCAGACCCGTGGAGTTGAACTCTCCTCCAGGCTGAGGGACTGACTACCTCAAATACTTTTTCTCCAAGGTTGTTGGACTGATTACATCATGCTAATTTTATTACTACACCTGCTGCCTCTGTATTTGATTGAAGAAGTCTACTGTGTAGGTGAAACGTTTCACCAGTACAGATACCTAATTGTTGCACATGTATGGTAGACAATACCGACAATATAAAGAATTAGACACATCTGGATATCTTTATTTGTAGACGTTTCGCCATTCAGGGGTTTACTCAGTATAATCTGTGTCCTTGAATTTTTATTGATACAGTCACTGGAGAGCGAAACGTCTACATTAAAGATATCCAGATGTTGCACGTGTGTCTGTTTCCTGACTTGACAGTAATGGACATAAGAAGTCATCAAGAAATCCAGTACAAAAGTGGGAAAGTATAAGAGGTTAGTGTTACTGACAACACCTCCTCGGCACACCTGGAAAACACCTGAGGGTCTCCACCTGAGGGCCCTCAACACTACCAAAAGAAACTGCTCAAACTTCCTTCAAAAGCTATCAAAAATATTGCCAGAACAAAGATAAAAGCTTTAGCTGGGTAAGTGGACCACTTCCAGCCACAATCCATAACGCTTGGATAAGTGGCAGATGAAGTTTAGCGGAGAAGTGCGCAGTAACCCAGACACTTATTAACTAAATATTATAGAACTTGATCTTACAGAATGCAACAAGCACTTGAGAGTTATGGTAAACAGAAAATTGTAGCCGACACAGCAGTGCTTAAGCGTCCTTAATAAGGCTAACAGACTGCTTGGCTGTATGTCAACAAGTATAAACAATAGAAGCGTTCAGAGGATACACTACAGATCTGGTATAAACCTTGATAATAGATACCGAGAAATTGGTTTAGAAAGACACGTAGGCAAACACTAAGACATATTTATTTGAAACGTTGTCAAACATGTCCTGGTGTTTGCTTACGTGTCTCTCTAAACACTACAGCTCTACACAACATTGGTAAGGTCTCGCTGGGATTATGCGGTGCAGTTCTGGTCTCCAGACTACAGAATGGAACTAAATGCTCTAGAGAACATACAAAGAATGACAAAATTAATCCAATGCATAAATCATCCATACGAAGACACACTGAGAGAGTCTTAAGCTAATAATGTTGAACAGGTAGGCATATTATGTGTAGGAAAAGTGGCATCATGTAGGAAAGGTCAAGTGATGGGTGAGGTAAGTTCACCTTACGCCATATATATAAATATATGCAAAACAACCACTGGGGGAGTTGAATGATAGATATAGGCGTTTTGTGTTGCAATCAACACATCATCAGGAGCTTGCAATGTTGCAGAAAAAATGAGGAATTCCAAGCAAATACGTTCAGAGGAAATGTGTTTGCTAGAGCAAACACGCTTTGTCTCCCATTTATCTTCAACTCTGTTGCCACTTCAACGGAAACACACCAGTCACATAACATCTCTAGCACATGTGAGGCCAGAAAGTCTTAAATTTGCCCTTAAGGACCTAAATACAACTTTTTTTTATTATTTTTAGGCCAGTCGTAGAGTCTGCAGAGTCAGCATAGAGTCCCACCTGATCAATACTGTAGAGAAAGTTAAGAAAATCTAGAGATTTGCAGTGAGACTAGACTAGAAGAACTAATTCCGATGATCTTAGAAAAGTGAAAAAGCCTGAGAGACATGATAATTACGACGTATAAGACTGACAGCAGACAGACACAGACTGACAGGAGAGGAGAGGCCGGAAAGGGGAGCAGAAATAGAAGTTTCAGACACAGACGAGCCACAGTGACGTTAGAAAGTAATTCCTCAGTCAGGGTGGCAGGAAGTGAACGTAGGAGGAACAGGAAGAAGGAAACTCCACGCATCATTAAGAATAGAGGATTACGACGAAGCACAAGAAGCTAAGAACCCAGTAATACGAGCGAGACGAGGTCCCGTAAATCGACCTATAGGAACACGAGCAAGTCAATACATGCAAACTGAACTTACAGGAACACACGTACGAAATATTCAGCGAAACACACAACACTGGGCTGCCTGACTAGGCTGTGTGTTGGCTGTGGGCCAAGCAGCCTCCTCCTCCTCCTCCCTGACCCAGCACACCCTGTCTCACTGCAAGACCTTCAAGAATCACCTTCATCAGGAACTTCTTGTATCTTCCGCCTCAGACCCAACCTACCAAACATTCTCGGCGGTCCCTTCCTCGCCTGTCTCAAGTCCAACTCACCCAGCATTCTCCACCTGACTCTCCATCCTATAAATACTCATATACTATTCACCATGGTACATCTGTTTGTGACTTGATAAAGCCCACTATGTGGGCGAAACGTTGTCAATAAAGGATAGCAGTATAGTGCACTTGTGTTTATTTTTCCATCGACTCGATATTTGATGCCATTTATCTCTATCTTCCGCTGCTACAGAGGATGAAAAGTCGCAATATCGTGGCTGGAACAATTCACAAGTAACCCGCACTTAATAATAATAACAACAACAACAACAATAATAATAATAATAATAATAATAATAATAATAATAATAATAATAATAATAATAATAATAATAATAATAATAATAATCTTTATATCTACAAGAACATGATGCAACATATACAGACCATAGCTGACATCAATGACGTACTATACAGAAATCCCCTGGTTTTGCAGGGTATTTCGGGCAACTTAGGTTAATATTGTCCCCTCTTATCCCCAGGATGCAACCCAGTCAGCTAACACCCAGGTACCTACTTGCTGCTAGGTGAACAGGGGCAGCGAGTGTATGGAAGCACGCCCAATATTTCCACCTGTACCGGGGATCGAGCAACAGACACTCAGTGTGTGGGATGAGTGCGCTACCAACCGAGCTACGGAACCTGATGAAGACGTTTCGGTCCCTCCTGGAAAACTGGCTATTCACAACA